ATCACATTTCGTAATATCGAAACTGTAAGTCTTTTTAGGGAACCTATCATTGGCCTTTTCAGACCCAGTGGGGTTTTTTCCACTTGAGGGGACTAGTAATTTGCAAGAGTATGGTGGCCCTTGTTTTAACTCAGCCAAATCGACCTCACTTTCTTCGACGGCTAAAAGTTCGTCGAATGTTTCTGGATCTTCTTCGTCCATTTCGACATATGCTATCTTTTCTCTTTTATGAGTTTTCGTCGCCCTGGCTTTTTCAGCTTTAAGGCGTTCCACCTGTCGAACCCTATCGGCCAATTGGGCCATGTCCCTCAGATACTGAGTGTCTAATTTCTTCCTAATAGAGTAATCTAGACCTCCTGCGGCTATTTCGACTAACTCATGCTCTGGTACTTGCATAAAGCATCTTGCCTTGAGCAATCTAAACCTATTTAAGTATTCGTCTATAGGCTCAGTGAATCTCCTCTTTACACTAGCCAACTCTTTCAGGCTTATCTTGGTCTGTCCCATGTAGAATTGCTCATGCAACAATCTCTCCAACTGAGTCCAATGGTGGATCGAATTGGGAGGGAGAGTTGTGAACCAAGTAAACGCATTCTTTGTTAGGGAACTTGGGAAATACTTAATCCTCGGGTTCTCATTGTTTGAGATTTCTCCCGCTTCGATTAAATATCTTGCCACATGTTCGACAGTGGATTCTGTCGTGTCCCCTGAAAACTTAGTGAACTTAGGGACTTTGCATCTAGGAGGCAAGTCCGTTTGCAACACATATTCCGACAAGGGGGATGTGAAGTTGGGCCTACGGAAACCCGTATTCATCCCGTTTTGCATCATGATTCTTTCAATCATGGTTGTCAAGTTATTCTCCAAACCAGCATTCTGGTATTGGATCTGCTGAACTAATTCGTCAGCGTTTTGGTTTCTATTAACCATCCTTATTTCAGGGGCTACGACTCTTGGCTCTTCGACCCCGGGTTGTTCTAGTTGTACCCTAAGGTTCTCTTCGACAGGCTACTGGACTTGGTTAATAGTGGTTTCTTCCTCTAGAAGTATGCCTTGGTTTCCCCTCATCTGTGCCCTTTGGGGTTGTCGAATTTGTTGGGGTACCCCAAAAAAATTAGCCAGGCGCGACATTTGCGCTGTCATTTGCTGATTCGACTGGGTGGTATTCTCTATTAGAGGATTTAGCACTGTACTTAAAGTTTGTGCCAACATTTGAATCATGTCGTGGTTGCTTTCGTCCATTTGCTGCCTCAAGACTGCTGTCGAGGAATTCGTAAGGCCAGGCATTACGTGGGACGTTCCTCCTAAGAGTTGGTTCCTACCCCTGTTCGCCATACCAACTCCAGAGCCTTGGAGTGGCGAAGAGGCGCTCACTAAAGGATCTGAGAAGGTGGACGTAGTGTTCGTCAGGCTAGCCAATTCAGAAGTTGGCATGCCATAGGGTGGTTCTCGATTTAACCCGACTGTCGAAAAACCTGGGGGAACATATGGTCTTGTTCCTTGGTTTCCCCTAGATGGGGGGGTTCCCAAGGGCATCCTGGGGCCTGTAAATGGAGGTAATGGCCCCGTTTGTGTAATCGTTACTGCTGGCGTCGAACTAGCGGTTACCACTTCACTTACGGTTGGGATAACCTTTGCTCCCATGTTTGTTTGTGGGATTTCTCCATTGATTGGCGGATTCGCCATTTCACTAACTCTTCCCTTAGTATTGGTTTCGTTGGTGTATATTCTACCACTTCTTAATAACATGCAATACTCTCGAAAGAGAAGGATAGTTTATATAAGACGATTAAACGTGAAAGAATCAACACAAAGTCCCACCAGGTGTGCCAATTTGTTTACCGGGAAAAATGGTAAACAACCGCTGATCTTCCAAAAGGTTACTTATTTGGTGACTCGCAGGATCGATCAGATTGATCCTAAGACATGGTTGATTCTTGGAGTTTAAATGCTTTGAAATAAAGAGTTTCGACTAATCCTAATGGTGATTAATGCAAGTAAAGTAGAGACACTTTAAATAAATTGCATGGAGAAGAGCTTGATAAAATAAATAAAAGCATTAAAGGTTTGCTAAATAAATGCCTTCGACTGAAGTAAATGAGTGAAAGTGATAAATTGCTTGAATATAAAAGAATTTGATTAAGGTAAATGGTGTCTCACACATACATTCTCAATGATTCTTTCTCTCACGCTGGGTACTTGAATCTAAATGAGTGACTTGTATACAATGATGAACACCCTTATAACTTTGTAAATACTTAGTATTTATACTAAAAAAACTAAGTAACTGCTGGGCAGTCACACCGCTTCATGATGACTCCACATGGCATGCTCACAACCTTCAACGCCTACGTGCACGACACGTTGCGCTTGGTAACTGCTGGGAACCGTTTTCCTTTCAACAATTCAGAATTTAAACCGTTCGATCTTGGGCATCAGGGACCTTGGTCGAGAGGTTGCTCCTTCGACGTCGAAGATAACAAGATTCCAACTTAAAGGAATTTCTCTAAATACCTTGTCATTCCTTGATGAGCCTTCGACGTGATCAGCTGGTCGAAGCCTTCTTGTGTCAGAAACTCTTCTGACTCAATTAATGATCTATATAATAATAGAATGTGGGTGTCGAATTTAGGAGCCAACAAATAACAACTACAGGGCGGTACATTCACATCATTTCTTATATTTTCTGTCTCTTTATTTATTTCTTTTATTTTATTAATTACTAACTAGTGTATTATAATTTTGTTCTGTTTTGTTGCCCCTGTAACTTGTTAACCTTCTTTTATTTCACTCATTTGTTTCTTAATTTAATTGTTATTCATTAGTTAATTTAGAATTAAGTTTATATACCAATTGGGCCTTGGGCTCATGTTTCTATTATTTTGCCATGCCTAACCTTCACTCTAACTTAGCACCCCCTCATATTCTTATAATTAGTTTTTTTTCCTAAAGTAGTTTAGTTAATTATTAATGAATTATTATGGTTAATTTTTATTTTATTAAAATTAGAGAAAAGTGTTTTATCTTTAAATAGGTTATTTGTTTTTAGATTAAATTAACCAACTTGTATATAATTCTAATTTTCTCTCGATTAATCATCACCCCTTTGTAAATAAGTCGATCAAGCATGTTATAATGAAATTTTGATTATTTTTTTGTCATGTGTTGATGAAAGTTATTTTATTAATGTTTTCATGTTTAAATCTAAGGAAAAGAGATTGTATATCCTGACTTATTGTCATGTACTTGTCTCTTGTATGTTTGTTGTTTCCTTTATCTATTTTTTTTTTGTATTTAGTCCTTAAATCCTAAGTTTTTTCTAACTTACCCCTTTTAATAAAAAACCTTGACATTAAGTCATTGAATTTTCAAAATTTTTTTTATTTTTAATAAATGCTTCAAAATGCCTAAGCATGTCAGAATAATCTCAAAAAATCTTTAAAAAATCACTTCTCTCCTCATTTCCTCGATATTTCAGCAAACAAACATTTTTTTAACCAAAAAATGCAGATATCATAAGAGGTTCGTATAACATACTATAAATACATAAGGTGATAGTACATTTCTTTTGTATAAGCAATCCTCGTACCTTATATCTCTTTATTGCTTTGCTTTTAGTTTTACTACTTACTTTGCATGTTTATTATGAGTTTTTTATTTGATCTTTTCACTTTCCTTTGAAAATAATAAAGTTCGTGGTGAACTCTTATTTGTGAGTCAAGTTAATCAATAGCTCGATTTCTGATTTCACCGCGATAATTATGAAATTATGTGTGGGTGCCAGGTCAAAGTGGAGGGTTGTAGAAAAAAATCTCGCAATCCATAGGGTTCATTCGAAATAAAAGAATTCCTACAAAGTGCCATGATCACAAGAGCTATAAATAATATTGTTGTTTTTATTCCTTTAAGTTCTAGAAGGGGTTATTAGTGTGCGGTCTAGACACTAGTATAATAACTTTTGGTTACATCAAAATTGACACAAACACCCCTAAAACATAAACACGTCTCAACAACACTAGAACATAAACTCGCCTAAAAGAACAACGCAAACAACAAATACAAATACTTAACAAAGACTTATGTCTAAGTTGTTACAACAAGCAAAACAATTTCATCTGGTGAAGATAACATAACTCTAACATCAATGTCATCTTTAACTCGCACCAACGTACGCTGCATAACATTATTGTCATCTACAATTGAGATGTACGAAACAACCCTCTCAATACACCTAATTCTTTTCCCATTTGTAATCTCTCCATCTAATCAACAGTTCAAACTCTTTTCAAGATGCTCGAAAGTGTGGATGTTCCAAAAACGCATTTTCATCGGAGATTTTGCTCTCGAATAAAACACATGCAGATTTCTTCTAGCAATCATCATAGAACTATTGAAGTTAAGAAGAGGTTGAATGGAGTGAATATTAGAAGACACGTCTACTTATAGTAAAAAAAAGCATACAACACACTATTGTCAGTTGAATTGGCGCCACCCTTTAACATTGCACACATACACTAATTCAACAGACGCCTTCAATTAAAACACAACACACTAGCGTCAATTGGATTGATTAGACTAGATGTAGTTGTCAATCAAATTGGCTAAATTAAATACAGTCGTCAATTCAATTGACACCTCCTTTAAAAAAATTATTGAAGTCAGCCAATTCATTTGATATTGCCTCTACATTCTAATTTTTTTTAATTTGAAAGTGAAATAAATTAAAAACATTTTTAAAGCATGGGTTAGTTTGAAAATAAATTTTAAAAAGTGAGTTATTTGAGTAAAAAATTCAAAATTTTGAGTTATTAACATGTGGCCAAATCATAACCACTTAAAAAGGTGGTCCACTCCATTATTTCCAACCATTATCCTAAAATATAACCCAAAAAAAAATAAAAAAGAAAAAGAAAAAGAAAAAGTTGTCTTTCAAGTGTTATGGTGTACAACCACTCAAAATTCCAAATTCATTTTTCAAACGGATAAGAGAAATAACCCAAATGGCTTGCAATTCTACACCCCTCCTATCACCACCCAAAACCACAACCGTCGCAACCGTCCACCACCCCCACCACCACAGACTCCAACCCATCTTCCACACCAAACCCACCCTCCACCGCAAACTCACCACAAAACTCCACGTCTCCTCCTCCCCAACAAACAACCCCACAACCACACCCTCCCCCACCCAACCCCCACCCCAAAAACCCAACCAAGAAACCGTCTTCTTCGACGGCGGAGCCCACTACGGCGACCTCGTCGCCAACCTCTTCCTAGGCTTCACCCTCGTCTGGCTTCCCTTAACCTTAGCAGCAGTCTCACGCGCTCTCTACCTCCGTTACAGGTTCACCAACCTCAGAGTTACAGTAATCTCAGGGCTAACAGGCGAGGACAGAAGCGACTTTTCATATAGTGTTATCAAAGACGTTCAGGTTGTTCCAAGGTTTATCGGTGAATGGGGTGACATTGTTATCACGTTGAAAGATGGTACTAAAGTTGATCTTAGGAGTGTTCCTAAGTTTAGAGAAATTGCTAAGTATTGTCTCTCTATCAGAGATAAATCTTCTCAGAATTTGAATCAATCTCGCACTCCTAAAGCCTTTTGAACTAAACCAAAATTATACAGGTATTTATTTTATGTTTATTATGTATACATATATGTAAATTTATTTTTTTTGTTTTTTTTAGATTAATTGGTGTTTGACAATGTTAACATTTTGTATTGAATTTTGTTGTGCCACTTTTTTAATTCAATGATAATGGAATTTGAGTTATATGGATGATCAAGGTTTTAAATAAGGTTGTTTAGATAAAAAATATGGTTAGTCATTAAAATGATGAGAATTTATAAAATAATTTGTTCAATTTAAATTTAAGGAATGTCATATGACACGTAAATAATAAAGAATTTTAAATTCATCTTCCACTCTATTTGCTGTATTACGTGAATGTTAAATTAGTTATTATTAATCTTTAGAATTTTACAAATTCATCTTCATTTTTTTTTGTAATTTTCAAATTGACCCCTAAATATTTAAAAATTAAAAATTAATTTTTAATAATTTTCAATTTTTACATAATGATTCTTTAAATTTCCAAAAATTGTAAATTAGTCTCTAATTTTCCAATTTTAAATTTGAAACAATCATAAAATTAGGTAAGTGGCCTAAATATTAACAACGAACGTTTTTAATATTCTATCCAAACAAAAGCATTTTAAGATGAAAGAAATCCAATTGAAGCATTTGAATTACCTCGTTCAAATGCATAAAAAGTGTTTGGATTTATATCAGCTTAAAGAGTAAATACTGTTTTTTTTTTTAATATACCCCTTCACAAAGTGTTTGGGTTTTTTCAGCTTAAAGAGCAAATACTTTTTTTTTTTTAATATACCACCTCACACTGATATGGTTGGAGTTCATGCATGAAATAAATGAGAAAAATACTCTTTTCATCCTTACATGAGCATACTATATTTTTGAAAATCTAAAATTGTTCTTTAAATAAAATCACATCAATTTTCTATTTTTTGAGTTTCATCTTAATTTTTTTAAAAATGATCCGAAGATGTATTTTCGTATATTGTTTGGATATAACTAGAGATGTATCTCTGAAATATTCTCTGCATTCACTTATGGGATTTTGTTATTCATGCAACTGATTTAAATAACAACTCATGGATATTTTCGAAGATGTAACTCTGAAAATGTCCAACTGAAAAGTTGAAAAAACACCATCTTGCATGAGTTTCTTCTTCATGCTAAAAGAAGAAACCATCGGAAAATTCCTTGAAAAAACTCTCTCATTCTCAATCAAACTTTCAACACCAAAATATAATTATTGTAGTTCATCACTTCAAAGGGAGCAAAACAAGTTGGAATTACAGGTAACGATCATTCATTTCAACCCTAATTTCTTGCATTAATAATAATTTTTAACTGAAAATGAACGTTGATTTCGGAGATGCATCTCTAGACAAAGTTTGGTGTGGTCTGAATGTGCATCTCCAGATTGTCCTGATAGTATGAATCTTCACACTATTTTTCTGTTATTGGTGGTAATAAATATGGTGCACCCGAATACGTATCCCAAAGTTATTATGAGGGTGAATGTTAAATAGGTCAAGTGAATCATGATGTTAAATCAGATGAAGTGAATAATGATGTTCAACCAGATGAAGTGAATGATGATGTTAAATCGAGTATTCGACCGACCTTTGTAGATGTAGAGTTCGTGCATAATTTTTAATTAAAGAAGTGTTTTTTGTTCGTGAGCATATGCTATAATGGATCCGTAGCGAGACCGAAAAATTGGGGGTTGGCGTTGTAATTGGAAGGTTTGACAATGGTATGCGAAAGAAGAGGCACGTACCAACCAAAGATTAGGAAGTTAAAACGAGATCAAGGAAATGTGAGTGTCCGTTTAAATTGTGCGGATAGCGTATGGCGGATGAGACATGAAAATTTAATGTGATTTCTGATATACATAATCATGGCTTGGATGACAAGTTAGTCGGTCATCCCGTTGTATATCGCCTTGTTGCGGAGGATAGGGAACTTGTTTTAGACATGACATTAAATATGGTGGCGCCGAAAGACATATCAGCGTCTTTGAAACAGAAAAGACCTCTAAATATTTCAAATATCAAGCAAATATACAACATGCATGCTCGAAATAACAAGGCAGTAAAAGGACCAAGATCTGATATGCAACAAGTGTTGAAGCTTTTGGAAGATGAAGACTATGTTTCGAGATACAAAGCTTGTGATGATAAATTCACCGTTCGAGATATATTTTGGAGTCATCCCGATTCTGTAAAGTTGTTCAACACCTTTCCCTCTGTGCTTATAATTGACTCAACATCCAAAAAAATAAGTATAGACTTCCACTCTTGGAAATTGTTGGTGTCACATCTACAGAGATGACTTATTCAGTCGGTTTTGCATTTTTGGAATCTGAAAAAGAGGACAATGTTACATGGGCTTTGGAAATATGCAAGACTATGTTGAAGGACCAATAAAACATGTCATAAGTCATAATCATCGATCCCGACACCATATTTATGAATTCAGTTGCAACAGTGTTTCCTACTTTTTTTCGCATTACTTTGTAAGTATAACATAAACAAAAATGCGAGAAGTCAAGTAAAACATGTAATTGGTACGAAACAAGTCAAAGGTGAAGATAGTAAAATGTTCAAACCTGGTGTGGTTATATAAAAGATAATGGATGTATGTAATGGTATAATAAATTCTTCCAAGAAAGAATTATATGTTGAACCTGTTATATATTTCAAGAGTGTGTGTGCGATATATCCAGATTTGCTGAAATATATTGATGGCACAATTCTGGATCAAGTTAAAGAGAAGATTGCTTGTGCATGGACCGATCAACTTTGACACTTTGGCAATACAACAACTACCAAAGTTTAATATGCACATGCTAGATTAAAGAATTGGTTGGGAAATAGTAAAGGTGATTTTTGTCGAGATTGGGACATCGTGAATCAAATATTGCAAAACTAACTAATAATATACAAACATCTTTTGGTAGGAGCATTACTGTGTTAGAACACCAATTCAAAGACAACATTCTTTGTTCATTGTTGGTTGGCAACATATCTTGAATGATATTGAATTTTATTTTTCACAAAGTCAAACGAGCGGATAAAATAGGTTCTAATAGCTCAAAATATGGATGTACACTTAGGAATACTTACGATCTTCTATGTGCTTATTTAATTTCAAAGAAGCTGAATCATGAAAATCTAATCTGTAAGGACAAAGTTCACACTCACTGGACCCGACTCCGTTTTAATGACGATGGTGTGAGGAAGGACAATAAATCATACATATCTATCATGACCGAATGGAAAGTGATCCAATAGAGATTCATGAAAGCAGATGACATTATGAAATTTCACATCAAAGAGCAACTTAAGAAGATTGCATATCCAGAAACAATGGATTTGAAACCACCATAAAAACCAGTTAAAATAAAAGGTGCCCCTAAAAAGGTAAACAAACTCAAAGTGATAACTCCATGAGACAGTCTCCTTCGTATTTTGAACATGTTAACTCACATTTTTCGGATTCTCCGACTCCAAATTCTCAAAAAAGTGTTTTCAAGGATACGCACATTATTAAACCATCTCCTCCACCGCTGTTACCAAAAATGAAATTCATTGAAGAGATGACGCTTTTTATGCATAAATACATCGAGCAGATTGTAAATGTTAAAAGTGACGACAATTGTGATTTTTGAGCTATTTCAGGTTTACTCGGTAAGGGAGATGATGACCATAATTTTTTCCACTGTCATCTTATACAAGAGATAACCACGCATAGGGAATCATACACATAGCTATATGGGAATAAAACAAATTACAATACAATTCTCAATGCTCTTGTTCCTTTTCTTAGTGGTCCGACTCTGTTTGACAAATGGATGCGTTTTCTGGAAATGGAACATCATATAGCAAGTGCTTACGATAGGGTGTGCATTGATTTAACACGATATGGTTTCTCGGAAACATTCTTTCCACTTCGATATAAGCCACCTTATAATGCATTTGAACGCATCATGTGCATTAGTTGATTATAAAAAAAGCAAAATTGTGTTTAGGTTTATTTGAAACTAGGATGTCTTATACCAAAGGCATCACCGGAGTGGACGACGTATTTCACACAAGATGTTGAAACATGGTTGGATCACTTTCTTGAAAGAATGGAAGAGTTCACCAAATTTAGTGACAATGAACGAGAAGCAGATAAGGAGAGGACAAAGATTGAGCCACCAATAGATTTAGGTATGAGTTTTATTTGTAATCTAACAATGTAACTCTTTTTTTGTAAGTAACACACTGCATAAAGTTATAAAGTAGGATGGTATTTTTTGGACATTTTTTGTTTTTCAAATTATGCTATCATAATTAACGTCGTTCTGTTATGCATAGTTTTTGGGTAAATCCAGTGATGCATCTTCGGATACCCATTTATTAATTAAAAAACAAAGCAGTGGATCATCCGGAGATGCATCTCCGAAATGAACCTTATTTTTTGAAAAAATAAGAAGGATTCAGAGATGTATCTCTGAAGTATTTCATGCAAATATGATCATGTACGTAAGGTCCTTATTGCTCTACAACTTCTATAAATATGGTCTCTCAATCCATTTTCTTTGTACAAATCAGAATGACTACATATCCTCCATCTTGTATTTGTGTATCTCAATGGAACAAAACCCCCACTTCAATTTTGAATCTACAAGGACAAACTTCTCGTCGATATGAAAACCAAACTGAATACTCTCCTAAAATATTTAAAAAATCAGATAGTTGTGAAGATAGAGTACCATTTACCCTCGATAGACAACAAATGGAAGATATAATTCACAATGCTTGAACTGAAGACAGATGATGATTTGAAGGTGATGTGGAGTACTTTTTACAATTACTCAACAAAGGTGAAATTCTGACACACACAATATCAGAAGTCAAGACTGATGTCTCAACAACACACAATGTCACAACAAATGTTATGACATCTGCTGATAGAACAACAAACAATAAAAACAATGCAGAATTATAACTTGTAGAAAGTAAAGT